AGGTGTAGGGGCCGGCGGTCCAGGTGTAGGGGCAGGCGGTCCAGGTGTAGGGGCCGCCGCCCAGGTGTAGGGGCCAGTGGCCCAGGTGTAGGGGCCGGCGGCCCAGGTGTAGGGGCCGGCGGTCCAGGTGTAGGGGCCGGCGGCCCAGGTGTAGGGGCCAGTGGCCCAGGTGTAGGGGCCGGCGGCCCAGGTGTAGGGGCCAGTGGCCCAGGTGTAGGGGCCGGCGGCCCAGGTGTAGGGGCCGGCGGTCCAGGTGTAGGGGCCGGCGGTCCAGGTGTAGGGGCCGGCGGCCCAGGTGTAGGGGCAGGCGGCCCAGGTGTAGGGGCCGGCGGCCCAGGTGTAGGGGCCAGTGGCCCAGGTGCAGCAGCCGTGGGTTTGAATCCCGCTCATGGTCCTTTGCTGCAGGTCCTTCCACCATTCTTCTCCCCACCTTCCTGTCTCTCTCTCTCTACTGTCCTTTCAAGTAAAGGCCACTTTAAGAACACCATCCAGCTTCATCTACACAGCAGCAGTTTGCAACAGCAGTCATCCTGGGACAGCTCTGGATAAAGACCTTCCTATACTTATACAGAGAAACCCAACAAACCACGAGTTTCCGTTGGATTCTCTTTGAAAACTTGGCGACAGCGGAGAGAAAAAAGTCGGAGCGTTTCCCGCCATGCAGAGTTCTGCACGGACTCGTGAGGTCGTGGCGAGTCAGGCTGCTCGTTAGAGCGACTGAGGTGGTATTTTTGTTTAGACACAGATGAGGGGGAGCAGAAACGTGATTTATGTCGGCAGGAATGTGGCCGAGCAGACGGAGGAGGAGGAGGAGGAGGAGGAGGAGGAGGCTCAGAGCCCGAGGCTGAACTGGTGGAGGTTATCTGAGGAGAACCGGGCGGAGCCGACCCGAAGGCCGAGGAGGGTGTGAAGCTGAACAACAGGTCGCACGAGGATAACGATGAGATAAAGACGATCAGAGTGAACCCTAACCCTAACCCAGAGGCTGTAGCAGACGTCAGGAAAGTTCATACCGACCGTCTTGATTGTCAGTCTGTCTCAGCTCCACCACCTCTCTGGTGGAAGCTGAACGTGTCAGAAAGAGCCTGAGATGGTTCTGTGTCCGGGTTCTCCAGCTTCCTCCCACAGTCCAGAACACGCTGAGGTCACCTGGTGACTCTAACTGATGAGGAGTTGGTTCTTCAGTAGCCGTGACGTGAAGACGAAGGAATTAAAGAGTTCATTTGTAAAAACAGATAACTCCATTCAGAAAACTTTTTTATTCACACAACCAAAGAGGTCGCCTCCATAAAGGACTGTTGTTTAACCCCTTCAAACAATGAAGCGGGTCTTTGATCGTAGGCTGAGGAGTACAATGTGAATGAATGAGTGGATTCTGTCTGTGTGGGAACGACTTCAGGCAAACACCGAATGAATAAACAGACTGAGAGAACACGCAGCGTTCACAAAGTCAGCGTCATCACTGACAAGCAGAACGAAGGAAATCTGGCAAAGGATGAAGGAAAACCAGGAAGTTTCTATAAAAAACACAACAGCAGGAAAGGCGCTAGGTGGCAGGTTGACAGGAGGAGCGACTGAAATAAAGAAGTGAGGAAGGACTTCTACCCAATCAGCTGCTGTGTAAAGCAGGAAGCGTTAGTTCTTGTGTTGTAATGACATCAATAAATCATTCACGACTGCAGACCTGTAGAATAATCCTCATGAGAGCTAAACGTGAGAAACACAGATGGAAGTTCAAAATTCAGATATTTCCTCCTGCAGGGACACAGTGTTCAGCTGGTTTCTGCTATAGCTGCAGAAAAAGGCGAACAGAGGATGTGAAAGTGACGCCAGAGGCACACGAGTCGTAGAGAAACACTTTGACCTGATCACAAACTACAGCCGTGACCCGATAATCGACCCGTAACAATCCAGAACCTGCTGTCTGACAGGTTTGTAGGAAAAACCAACAGAACCCATAAAAACAGCCTTAACATAGCGACAGCCTTGGATTGTGACTCCGACATGACATTTAATGTCACCAATCAGGATGACGGCGTATTATCTGACTGAACAATCCCACAGATTGGCTACGTTCACACTGCAGGACTTGATGCTCAATGAGGATTTCTTTGTGACTTCCTCCACGTTTCCAGTTCAATGCGACTTGTATGTGATCTGCTGTGTGAACTTCATACGAGCCAAAAGTGTCCCGCATGCGCAGAAGAGGACACGACGACGTCACACGCAGCGAGCGTGCTCAGTGTTTATGGAAGTAAACATGGATGGTAACGGTGGAGCGTATCTGCCACTCCCCCGCCGCCACCGATGGAGGAAACAGAAGTGTGAGCGCTAACTAAACTAGCATCAGCAGCCAAGTACTGCCTGTGTGTTCTGGACACTTCCACCCCGTCAGAGCGCTGCCCCGGGGTGGAAGTGTCCCCCGACCGCACAGAATGTTCTGATATTCGTCATTAATTGAGCCCAGAAAGTTCTACTGGGACCAGCCCTACTAGTTATTATAACAACTATGAACAATAATGAACAACTAATGAGCCTTCCAGCATCAAGCCCTCCTCGTATCTGGACCTCCGTCTGGACAATCCGACAGCCTTGATATCCGCCGTAGCGTCGGCTTATCGAGTCACGACTGCAGCTTCCAGTTGAACTTGAGCAGGAGTCCTCGACACCAGCAGAGGGGTTCGTGTTCTGGGATGACGACACTTCGGCTGCGAGCCACATGGAGATGAGACGTCCGCTGCAGGCTGCACAGCTTCCTTCACAAAACAAACAGGAACAAATCGGCCTCTCCGACTTGTTCTTTTAGCTCTTTTAGTTTTCTTCTTGCTACATACGATTCATCTTTGACCGTCTTTGTTCTCTCTTCCTGAAGCTTTGCCCTCCCGTCTGCACGTCTGGATCATTCACCAAGATGTGCGCAGAGAAAACCGTTGGCATCGCAAACATGTCACCAGAAGTGTCTCGCTTTGAGGACCTGCCATGCTGAGTAAATATACAGCATACGCACATCTGGAACCAGGACAACGAGCACAAACAGGCTTTTGTATCCTTTACTTTTCTAAATGCACACGAGTTTCGTTTCATTGCAGCGTTCTCAGTTCTACAGCAGAACGTCAGAACATCCCTCTGGAGCTTCTGCAGCAGTTCCAGCCTTTAGATTAGAATTCACCCCATTCTGTTTTTAATTTGTGAGACAGTTGTTTGGGGGGACAAATATTCCTGGAGTCTCTTAGACTGCCGGAGGAGTAAGTACAGTCATGACTCCATAATCCCCCAAAAACAGTGGTCACCATTGCTGCTGATGGGATGTCTTAGTGCAGCGACACTCTGCTCCCAGTGCTCCCAGTGCTCCCAGTGCTCCCAGCACGCTGATGACAAAACAACAAAAACAACAACACTCAGCTTCAACTAGGACAGGAACACACACACACACACACACACACTCACACACACACACACACACACACACACACACACACACACTCACACACACTCAGCTCTGCGGGGCCTCAGTCACAGCCGTCACATTTCCACGCTTGAATCCTTCACGCTTCTTCTTCTTCTCTGAGGACATGAATGAATGTTGCAGCCTGCTGACGTCTGCTGTTGTCTGAACTGTCTCATCTGCATTCACACACTTCACAGCTTCTCAGCTCTGGCCAGCAACGTTCCTCATTCCTACTGGTTAAACACACCGTTCACGGGACTGTCACTGGTGTGTGCATGAAACCAGCAGCACACACTCAACAACATTATTGTCATCACTGTTGCTAATGAGTCTGTTTCCTCCCTGACCATGTGGGTGCGCTCCAACAGCCACAGCAGCATACTGATGGAGTACGTTTAGTACGTCCCAGTACACGGTACGTCACATGCAGTCTGCTAACAACGCCCTCATGTCCGACTACATCAAGTCAGATTTTACAGTTACAGTGCCTTTCTGGCCACTGTGCAGTCAGATATGTCTCAGTGCATATAAACAAGCTTAAGCCACATAGAGAGTGCAGGTAGGTGTTCTAGCACTGCAGACTGTAATAATAAATGTTTAAAGTGCATTTCTATAGATATAAAGTAGGTCTCTGTTGTATACACACAGCATGAAGGAGTACGCACTGTGTGAAGGAGACTGTACTTGAGGTGACTACAAGACCAGAATCAGCCTGAATCAGAGCTCATCTGTTTTCTGTCTTGTTTTGTTTTGTTTACAGTTGTCCTCATAGCCTCCCATTAAAG